TTCAGGCAAGGCAATTGCTGGCAGACAGACTGAGGACGCACCGGATTTCACTGATGGCAGACAGCACCTTTCAAGCAGCAAAACGAAAGACTATGCAGGAGAGAAGGGACAACGCCAGGAGAAATGCAATTAGTGTGAAGAAGAGCCTGACCATGATGATCGTTGCAAATGAGCTGACCCCGACAATGGCTCAAGGCGATGACGAAGAGACAGGTTGGGATTTTACATTGCTGGTGTTCGGAACATTGTTATGCATTGGAGTGTTCCAAATCATTTGTTGGTTGAATGCTTGTTGGCGGCAGCGTGCAGCAGCACACAACAACCAGACAACAGAAGCACAAGTGCAAACCGAACATGATGAGCAACAGCCACCAGCACCACAGAGAAGAGAGACCAACGACAGACTTGAGGCAAGAATTGCACAATACAAGCAGTTCATCAAGAGTGGCAATGAAGCCATGGATCGAGTGAGACAGGAAAAGATGATGCTGGAAGAGAGATGCAGTGCGCTTGAAGCAGAAATTCAAGTGAGAGATGAGAGACAAGACAGAACAGATGAAAGATTAGATGAGCAACAACGCATCATAGCACAGCTGGAGCAAGATCTGGCAGAAGTTTCGCAACAGGCAGCATACCTCAGAAACCACCTTGGTGGTTTACCTCAGACAGTGTTCACCACAAGAACCGGCAGGAAATATCATTTGGATCCCCAGTGTTCAGCACTGAACCAGTCGACCGACCTCAAAGATTTCGATTACTGCTCGATGTGTGTGAACCGCATCATACCCTCTCACCGGCGCCCGCATGGTTCGAGTGGAGGAACCTAGTTACATGTCCTGTGCTTTTCAAGCATGCGCTTTAAGAGCTTTTGTATGCTTGGCACACTTCCACCGGTGTGAATTTGTGGCCCACAAATTGGTCACGATCGCCGTGTGATGTCCGCAACTCGGGTTCGAACCTAGGGCCCTTGAGTCACTTCCAATCGACTACGCGAAAAGGGGCTTTACATGTCCGCACTTTCACTTCCGTGTTTTCCCACTGACCTCGAGCGCATTGGGAACCCTACCTTGGTTTGTTGACCTAGGTTTTCACATATAACGAAAAACATCGAAAAAAAAATAAATATAAAAAGAACTCATTCCGTAGGGTGACTTTTGACAGGGGATGTCATTCCGCATCCGATGTTTCAATATCGCTGTCTTCAGGCCTCATAGAGATTGTTTCAAGCACCTTTAAAGGATCGATATTAATATGTTTCGTCCGAGTTCGGATGTCGTGTGATGTTGTGTAATGCAACTCTTGGGGGGCTCCCTGTTCTCTTGGCTCTTGTTTTGTAACTGGTTTCTATGGAAACGCCTGAACACAAAATGGTGGGATAAGCAGCCCATAAATCCATAACATGTGTTGCGGGCTTCTTCCAAAAGTTTCGCTCTGGCTCAATGATGTTCAATGTACTTACAGTAATGTTAACGCCCTTGTTTCTCCTGTCCTCGTCCTCTCTGCACAAAAGCGGGTGCCATGCCGGGACCTCGGCTCTGCGGAAACCCCGCCTTGGTCCGCTTCGTCGAGGTCATCTCCACATCCCCGGAGCTCGGCTTCGTTTCAGCCTCGCCTCGGCCACGAGGCCCCACGAGGCCGGCCGGGAGCGGGAGGCGAAGGACGGCCACGGCCCCGAGAACCAAAGCGTCGCGATCCGCAGCTTTTGGAAGCATTTGCGGGCAACAAGGTCGGTGGTCATATCATATCTATTCATAGTTCTATTCATATCTGGAGACATCATATAATATTCCTTGAATAATGCTTAAAGGTTGAACCCAGGATTTTATTTTATAGAATCCTTTCGGACTGAGGTGACTTCCTTATTTTTTTTGTGTGCTGAGGTTGGACATCATTTTTTTGAAGCAAGATTTCGGGTTTATAAAGTCCTTGACCGACCATTTATTAAAATCCTTCTCCCAAGGCCGCTCGGCCTTCTCAAAGTATCGTTACAAGTCTTATTTAAATCCTGGCATTGACCCTGGTGTCTCTACTGAACAAACATCGAATACTCTATTTTTTTCCTTCGAAACTTCCTATCGAACGTTGGAGGCTTCTGGCTGCGCTGTCCGCAAGTCATTGAAGATCTTGGCACGTTTTGTGTGCTAATCAGTCACGTCTGGTGTCAGTGTAAGTTCCATTCAGGAACTGCTGATTCTGATATGCTGATTCTGGTCTGCTGATTCTACTGCGCCCCCCTGAATCATTTCCGACTGTCCACGACATCAGACATGAACCCGATCGACGGAAAAACCCGATCGACGGAAGAGAAATGCAGTATATGCAGAAGAGCACGACATGTACCCCAACTCTATATCGATGTCTATTGGATAGAGGCAAAGAAAACTAAAATCCTGATCTTGACCCACAAGGACCTCCATGTTAAAGATAAACATGTGTTTATAAAATCCTGTGTCTAACCTACCATATGTCCCTTAAGTTCAGTAGTACCGTGACTTAACATGCTTTTCTGAATTTCTGGACCAACGATCAATTTTCAAAGCCTAATCTTATTTTGGTGATTTCTGAAGTCCTGGACGTACGTGATTTTCGGGAAAAACATTTTTATAAATCCCGGGGTTGGGGTCAAGGATTTTAGTATACATTATTCGAGGGACATCATATATCCATGCTCTTTCTATGATATAGATATTTTTATGTGTGTGCCGGTGTTGTGTGTCCACGCCATGCCGAAAGTGACCCAACATGCCGCGCCACACGCAGAATCGACACAACGACCCGCCTTCGAGTTCGGCTCTGACACCCTCGAGCTTCTCTCTGAGGACCTCTTGCATGGCCTCCTTCATCTCTTTTCGTCTGCCCGAGCGGAGTGTCGAGATGCAAAGCGGAGAGATGCAAGTCAGGGCTGCTGGGAGGTCGAATGGACTTGAAGAAAGTCGGGCTAAAAGGAGCTTGATTCTTGTCCAAAAAGGTGGCTTGAACGCCATTGTTGTTAAGAGGAGAAGCTGCCACGTGACCTGGAGCAGTCTGGATGGACTGCTGCATGACTTTGGACCACGGATGACCTGCCTGGCGGATTTGCGATCAGACTTTTTGGATTGCTCTGCTTCATCCTCATGGAGCGCGGGCTTCACACAAGAGCTTGTGGTGGATTTCACTCAGCTCAGGCTTCAAAAAGGGGGGGGCCTTGTAGAGAGGCAACCGAGTAGTATGTTTAAAACATTACAACTATTGACTTATTGAACAATCTAAACTTGTGCAGGGCTCGGGCTCAAATATCTCAAATGAATCAATGACCGGTGAACTACTCGTGGGACCAGCCTGTCCGGGAATGTCCGGGATGCGAAAACTCCCATCTGCCTTTTTTGGCGCATGCCTCAGTCCCTCCACCTCCACAAGCCTCGCCCTCCAGCTCACGTTTCCTGGTTAATGTTGAAGAGGTCTTACACTCCAAATCAGGGGGTTCTCTTAGGGGGCCCTATGAAGAGGTCTTACACGGCATGGGACGGCGGTATCCGATCGGAGCATCCTGAGTGGATGGGTCCGAAGAGTGGACAAATCGTCTTTAAAGGCATTTGACAACTTGAGGTGCACCAACCCGGGGGAATGTTGACATCTAAACCGAGAATGACAGAGAACTGTGCGGACTGTCCTGGATGATCTTCTTGATGTGATTTTCACCTGACCCCGCAAAGCAAGAGACATGCTTGGCAAAAACCGCAGGGCAGGGGCAGAAATTAACCTTATGAGTGCATGACACGTGGTACAAGGCCTTAGTGCCCCAGCAAACACAAAAATATCAAAAACACATGCTAGACTGCTAGACCAGACTCTACAAGATGAACAAAAACTTGAAGCTGGAGCACCTACTTGGCACCGCATATTTCTTGCCCCCGAATCCACTCATGCTTACAACCCCAAAAAAATCAACCACTGCCCCAAAAATCTACGAGTCTGCAGGTCTGGTGAGTTTGGTGCGATCAACGTACGTCCTGGCTCGCACAGATCTTCACGCTGACCCTGCTTGATGTCCAAAAGTGCTCACAGCGGTGGATTGAAGACCCGTAGACTCCGCAAAGTAGGGCTGGGGAAGACCTTCAAATGAACAGACTATAGTGACTAGTGAATAATTAGGATGTGTTTGAATAGTCATGAACAGTCTGGCAGGGGCCCAATTCACATCTCCTATCATCAGGCTTCTCATGGAATTCTTTTGGTGGAGCTGGTGTTTGGCTTGCTCAGGATGCTCAGTGACCTCTGACCTCAGTGCCCTCGATCCCCCCGGACCGCCATCGAGAGACGAGCAAGAAAAGACCCTCCTGCGGGCGGGGCACGTGTCACTCGGACCTTCTTCCGAGCCATGGCACCACAGGCTTAGGATGCTGCGGTGCGGACGATGGCTCGACTCGGATCCGAATCCGAGTAACCAGCCAAACAGCCCCAACGGGCGAGCTGGTTGAGCAACTTGGATGCTGAATCCTCGAAGACTCCAGAACGACGGCCAGACGGCCGCTGCCGAACTGCGGAAAACTACCCAATTGACCCCACCCAAAACCGTGTTCCGTGACAATTTGGTGAGCGCCATGTTTCGGTCATTCCTGCAGCCCGACGTCAGTTCGGGTCGGATGCTCCGCCCGGTCCCGCGCAAGCGCGAGCAACGAATTATGGGGACCCTGTCGGCGAAGAGGCTACATGGTCCACATGGCTTCATACAGAAGACATGAGGTGCATATGGAAACCAGTGGAAAATGTTGGAAACCTGTCCCATTGATTCCAGAAGACTTGATTGGAAACCTTTCCAATCGATTTTGGACACCTTTCCAATTGATTGATGTGCAGAAGACATATGGCCCAGTGATTGCGGGTGATTTTACCGCGTCTTCATCCGTCTTCATCCGTCTTCATCCATCTTCCCAGCCCTCCTCTTCATCCCTCCACCCAAAGGTTGCCCTTACCGGCCCCATCTCGCGCCACGCTGCGCGTTCCTTTCGCGTCGCCGACACCTCGGGCGACTGCACATCGCATTCCTCCACCCTGACCCCCGGCGACTCGAGCTTCAGCAACGCCTCCCAGGGGTCGAGCGGCTCCGCCGAACAAGAACGGCAGCGCGATCCAAGGAGAGATCGTCCTTTCTCTTCAGTGCCCATGTGCAAAGCCAAGGGGGGCAGCGCATTGAAAACACTGGGCTTTTGAAAGAAGATATATAGAAAAGTGAACCTCCTCAAACCGATGTATTAAAATGGGAATCCAAACTTAACTAAGATATCTAGATCTATATCCAGAAATCTGAAACATGATGAAACCATAGTAGACGTCTTGTGATGTCTTTTTCTATGGGCCGTTCCACCTTGCCCCTGGCCTGCTGCACCTCCTGCGCCTTGACACCTGCCTTCGGCACAATCCGGGCAGTCCTCGGAGATGCCGGAGACCGCGAATCGGGTCCAAGGACGGGATCAACGGACCAACGTCTGTCTTCCAACCCCCCAAATGAACATCAGGAGCCCTTTCCTTAACAAAACGTAGTAATCGCATCCTAGGTCCTAGGATGTCCTAGGTAGCATAGTAGCATACCTATATAGATATGCCTGGCACTGGTACGGGTTAGGCTGCCCCAGCCTCTCGTCCAGGCGGCCGAATTCTCTCTGAACCTCTGCCACCGGCCCTTGCAGCCGTTCGCTGAGCTCCCGCGCAAGAAGTGCGTGATGAAGGATCTGGTCTCAGAGGCGTGAGCGACACGCACAAAGCTTCGCACCGTTTGGGTTCACACGCACCCGTGGAACGGGCTCCGAGGGATCTCCGTTTCGTGACCAACCACCTGCTTTGGTATGCGGAACATGGTCATGCTTTAGGTGCTGATGCATCCACTTTCATGATCTTCCAAGATGATTCCAGTGTTGTCGTCTTGAAATATTTTTGATATACTATACCACAATCCTCCACCACAAACCATGGGAGCAGGAGGCAACGAAAGAACAGGTGCCCGAAGTGTTCAAAAAATCCCATCCATTACTGAAGACAAACTGCTGGGAATATGATATAGGTGACCTCACACACCCGGAGATCTATGTGTATATGGTATGTATAACACAATGACAAGAAGTCCAAATGCCCAAACACCTTCCACGCGTGGCATTGCCGGTGACACTTTTACAACAAGTCCACGGGCTGCGGGTTTTCTGTTCCCACTTTGGTGCTTTTTGTTCCCGAGGTGTTTCCTTTCCCGCTTTGGTGTTTTCTGTTCCCGCAAGTGTTTTGTACTGCTACCGCTTTCCAATTTTAAAATTCCCGGAAAAAGTTTTCTGTGTCCAGCAGTGTTTTCCGTTCCCGTACAGGTGTTTTCTGTTCCCGCCGTGTTTGCGGCACAAAACGGCTGTGATTTGCGTGGGAATTGTCTTCTCCAGGGGGTCGGATGCACGCCCCGGTGCTGGCTGGGGCTGCTGCGTCTCCACCGCTGTGCCGCTGTGATCTGCGTGGGAATTGTCTTCTGCAGGGGGTCAGATGTACGGGCTGGGGCTGCTCGGTGTGCCGCTGTGATTTGCGTGGGAATTGTCTTCTCCAGGGGGTCGGATGCCACCAACCAATTGTCATGAACTAATTGTCGCCAACCAATTGCCACCAACTCATTGTCGCCAACCAATTGTCATCAATTGTCAGCAACCAATTCTCACCAACCAATTGTCACCAACAAAGCGTCACCAACAAATTGCCACCAACAGATTGTCACCAACCAATTGCCACCAACTAATTGTCACCAACCAATTGTCAGCAACAAATTTCCACCAACCAACTGTCACCAACCTTTTGTCATAAACCAATTGTCTTCTCCAGCGGGTCGGGCCCGGCGCTGGCTGGCGCTGGCTGGTGCTGGCCGGCGCTGGTGGGTCTCTGCCCTTCTGAAAGGGTTATAGGACTGGTTTTTAAAACATGGTCCTCAACAAACTGTCATCAATCAATTGTCACGCCAACCAATTGCCACCCACCTACGCAGACATTCTCTCTTGCTAAGTTGCTAACATGTGGGGTTATCCGGTCCTATAATTTTTCACACGGATATTTCTTGCTAAAAGACACTGGAACCATAAAGTGGCGAATAATTTGAAGGAGATTATAAGAATGTAAAGTGGTGGTGCTATATTATTTGGTTTCTGGGCGATTCGTGGTCAAGATTATTCTAAGATGAACAGATGGTGATAATAAATGACCAATCATGGAAACGAAAATAATATAAGATAGAGAAATGATGGTGGGATTGATTGGTTGGTTTGTATTTGTTCTGATGAGCCATAATATAAAAGCATGGAAATATCTTAATTGGTTTGATGTTTTGGGTGCGTTAATAGATTTTGAAAATACAAGAACTAATTTGTAGCAGCGATGAAGCGTCCAGGATATGAAAATAGAATGACTACATTCCCGCACGCGCGCCTCCGGCCAAAAAGGTGTTGGCAGGGCCTTGCCAGGAAACAACTATGCAGTTGTCCGGCAAGGCCAGGCCTTCTGGAGGGTCCACGGCTGTCCAAACACAGGCGTCGCTGGCGCTTCGTGTGGAGCAGCGCCACACAGTGCACTCGCCTGTTTCTCCTGTGTGGACCTTTCCACCGCTGACGACCTGGGAAGCGCTTTTGAAGGGTTGAGCAACGAACAAAAGTGCATGCACAAACAAAGTGTTCTTACGCTTTCTCTCTCTCTCTCTCTCTCTCTTTCTGTCCCTCTTCCTCTTTATCAACGCCTAGGGGCAACACAGGTCTCTGGTGCGAGCAGCCCGGTTGGGTCGCTGATTGTCGTGAGGGTGAAAGACCGAACCGGCAACCTGAGCCTAGGCTTCTTCTGGAGGGCTTTGTAGGCCCCCCAGGCCTGAGCTGACCCCCGGCACAAAGCCTCCTTCGTGCCGCGCATCCCGGTGCGGGTCTTTCTCCTCTGCCGTTTGCTGCAATGCAGCAAGTGGAGTGGCATCGGAGAAATGCCCGACCTGCACCTGAATGTGGTCTTGCGGCACCCTTTTGTGAGCCCAGAATTTGTCCCCTGGCGAGCACCATGCGTATGTGTGCGAGTCGCGATGCCTTTGGCGTGTTATATTATAGTCTGAGTGCTGCAATGTCTTGGTTCCGGGCCGACATGTCCTGTTCTGTGGAGCGCTGGTTGGCCGGCGTGGCGCTGGAGAGCCTGAGCCAAGCGAGAAGCAAGCGAATATCACGTCACATCAACCCAGATTTGTCACACCAAGGCGCTGGGAGGCACATCCTGCAGCATATACACCTCCTCTTCTTTGGCAAGAGCTGCGTAGTAGTCCAGCCAGCTATGATCTGCGACCTCTTTACGCTCAGAATTTCTTGAAATGTTGGCCAAGCTGTTGCGCAACACATTCGTCCGGTACCAGTCTTCGTACCGGCGCCGCTTCTGTCTCCTTGATATAGGGCGGAGACTGGTGCTTTCTGTTCCCGCACGGTTCGGGCGAGGTTGCGAGTATGTTCGTTCGACGACGATCAGTACCAGTAGCACTGCGACTAGTGGTACTACGAGATACTACGAGTAGTAGGAGCAGTTCTGATGACGACTAGTGCTATTTACTACGACTACTGCAACTACTCCTACGACGACAACCACGGCAAGAACAAGTAGTACTACTATTACTATGACTACTACGGCTGCTACTGTAGAGTACTGCTGCTACTACTACTACCACCACCACCACTACTACTACTACTACGACTGCGCGGGTGCGACCCCTGCTGCTACTACTACGACGACGACTCCTACTACTACTACTACTACTGCTACTACTACTACTACTGCTACTACTACTACTACTAGTACTACTACTAATAGTACTACTACTACTACTACTTACTACTACTACTACTACTACGACTACTACTACTCCTACTCCTACTCCTACTCCTACTACTACTACTACTACTACTAATAGTACTACTACTACTACTACTACTACGACTACTACTACGACTACTACTACGACTACTACTACCACTACTACAATACTACTACAAGACTACTACAACACTACTACTACGACTACCACTACGACTACCACTACGACTACCACTACCACTACCACTACTACTACTACGACGACGACGACCACTACTACTACGACTACTACGACTACGACTACGACTACGACTACTACTGCTACTACGACGACTACTACTACTTTACCAGTACTACCAGTACTGCTACTACTGTACTAGTGCTACGACTATTGCTACTAGTACTCGAGCAGTTGCGCATGCAAGGCCTGAGCATCATCAGAGAACACCCGGAGCAAGAGCCCCAAGAGCAAGAGCCTGAAGCCTGAAGAGCCACAGAGCAAGAGCAAAAGCCTGAAAAAAAGCGACGCCACTTCTGTTCATCAGTATTGAAGAAACCGTGCAGAAAATCGACGAAGCCACTGGGAAGAGACCCTATATGTCAGGCAAGGCTGGCATAGATTAAAAGATTCAATCTAGAACAGCCACTACTGCTGCAGCAACAACAACAAGAAGAATAACAACAATATACGACAACTACAACTAACACTACCACTATACACACCACGACTACCACTACTACGACTACTACAACCACTCCACTACGACTACGACGGCTATACCACGGCTGCCACTTAGCCGAGCTTGTGCCACACACTCTACCCTCATGTACCAACACGTGCCCTCACACCACAAAATTTACTCCAGCTGCAATGTTTCCCCATACCCTTCCATACCATTCCCAGACGCGTGTCTTTGCGTGGAGCGTGCTCTTTGTGTGGAACTGTTTGGCCGGGCGAAGTCACACCGACATATCTCCTCAATTGCGCTGTCCTTCAAGAGGTTGCGGGTGCAGCAGCTGCAGCTTTTCTCTACTCACGCGACCTTTGTGTTTCATTGCTGGCCATATCAACGCACCGCCAACAACCAACGGGCACGCAGGATCACAGAATTGCCGGGAACACCTTGACGGCGTTGCCGGGAACAAAAAAACACCTTGGCGGCCACAAAAAACACCCCACTAGCGGCAACAGAAAACACCTGCGGGCACAGAAAACACCATTCCGGGAAAGGGAAACACCACGGGAACAAAACACACCAAAATGGGAACAAAAAAACACTATACCCCAAGTCCACTGCAGAGGCTTACTGCAGAGGCTTCATCCACCAAGCCTGAGAACTGCACTCGGACCTAGGCGTTGTCCAATCTGCAAGAATGTGCCACCAACATGGCCAAGTGCCACAACAGTTACGTCGTTATTCCTGGGTCTTGATCCACATCACATCCAAAACAACCAAAACCGCCCCCCCAAACCACTCAAAGGGACAAATAAAAACCAACCATTAAACTTGAGCGAGAAGAAAGAACATCATCCCCCACCACCTGAATTAACTCGAGAAGCTGTGGTGATGTCCTGTTCCAGTGACGCCAGCATCTGCAGCCGTTTCCGGTGCTTGCGGCATGTGGATCTGTCATCACTCCACTGTGAACCCAACCATAAATATTAGCCGGAAAACCAAGCGTGGCCAGGCACTGTGCTTGGGAAAATGCTACCATTGCCAATCACTGAGGCTGTTTGAATTTTTCTCTTTTGGCCACGCCTTCACAAAAGACGGTCAGAGGGGCACAGTTCATCATTCTCTTGGGGGTTTTGTTACCTATCTGGCCGATGGAGCAACTTCAGACAAAGACCCAGCAAATCTGTGATTCCGTATGGCCATATTTTTCACCATGTGGCGGGAAGAGGGGCCTCAAAGCGGATAGCTGCTTGGATGACTCGAGTATAATAGAATGCTTGGTGAAAGTTGCACCCCTTAATTTAAAAGCTTGGAAAGAGGCTCCTCGGCACCCATGTGGCATGCCACTGCTATGTTGGTTGGGTCGTCGGCTGCGGAACGAGCCACGAGCCTGTCTGTGCCCAAATGAGTCCTAAAAGCCTGATCTCACAAAGAGTCTCTATAGACTTATACACCTTGGGGGTGATTGGAGCCCAAAATACCCCCCAAACTCGGCCAAATTCCCCAACACATCAGGGTTTCCCCATCAATATGACCAGGCATCCCTGGCTGCGACGAACCCGCCTCCATGGTCTCCGAACGGCTGGAGGAGAAATTCCGAACCTCCCCCTGGCGATTGCGGGACGCCCCGTCCGTGCCCAATCCTGGAGGTTAAACCAACAGCTATGCATTACCCTCAGTCTGAGCACGAATCCCAACCTCTTCCCAAATCATCCACGTTCCATCCGAACATGATCGAGTTCACTCTTGGCACGGGAGCGCCATGATGTGCAAAACAAACATCCTGAACTTTGTTGAATATCTAAATGTTACATGTACCACACCCCCGACAATTCACGCCGTGGAATTCTGAAGATGTTCCGAAGGGGCCCCGTCGTGGTGAAATGGAGGTCCATGATGTCCGTGGTTTCATCTGCAGGAGGGTACATGATCATCTTGGAAAGTCCAAGTTTGATCCCCCCCAGCTGGACAAGAATGCCTGTTCCACGTGGTCGAGTCTTGGGGGCCTAGTGAGCTTTGGAAGGATATCCCTACCTTTTCCGACAGTACCAGCGGCAAATTTCAAACTCAGCTTGTGTTTTCCCTATCCACTGGGAACTTTTGGACTCTTCAAAAGTTCTTCTTGCATTTTCATGCATTTTCCCTATCCGCACTTGACTTTCTCCAAATCTATCCAATGACTGTTTACCAGTGAGTGACTCCTTGAGTGAACCCTCCAGGCCCGAAATGATTTGGTCCTGTACCCCGTGAAAAACTGCACCAAATCACAAAAAGTTGGGTGCAACCTCCGGCCACACACTACTGCCAGGCACCTCTACTCATATCCTACTTCACCTCCATGCTCCCACTATGGCATCCCACCGGCAGCTGCGTGCTTCCTTCTCGTCTCTCCCCAACATAAACCAACCCAACTATCCGGGAGCCTTCCGGCTTCCCTCAGCGGCTTCCTGGAGCGCCCACAGGGGCGGGTCGAGAAGGCCTTCTCGTCCTCGGGGCGGCTCGGCTGCTCAGGAGGACACCAGTCCTCTGGCAAGCTCCGGAGCTCCTCAAGCCGCGGGTTCGGGTGGGTCTTCCAGGACCCGGAACATAGCAGTCTTAAGAGGTGAATGGCCTCAAACCACCGGACTTGGAAGGTCCTGGTAGAAGTCATGGTTTCACAGTTTTATCCTCAAACCACATCAGTAGCTACAGACCGGACCACCTCTTCGCTGGAACTCGTCTACCTTCAGCATATCCAGGGACTCGTTCAATTCCTGTATCATGGTTTTGTTCAGGTGTGGGTCATAGGACCATAGGATCCCTGGGACGATATCAACACATATCAACATATCAATGACCTACCAATCGATCGACAGAAACCTCCCAAACCAGATTCCTTTTGTACCGCTTTGTTGTTTCGTCGCCAGTTCTGCCGTTGCAAGCGGCATTGCAGGGACGGTCCGGTCCGGTCTAGGACCCCATGGCATTGGAAAGAGGCTCTGGTCGTCACTTTGGTGTCCTCCAAGGTCGCCCCCTTTTGGTCCTCGTTCATCCTCATTCACTGCTGGGCAGCCCGGACGACGCCACTGGCTTTCAGGGAGGCCTGCACGTGCTTGGCCACGTGCGGAGCGTGCGGAGCGTGCGGAGCGTGCGGAGCGTGCGGAGCG